AAGCCTGGGTCCTGGCTGCAGGGCGAGGCAGAGGCGGTTAGGGGCGATCAGGCAGACAGGCAGGTGAGCAGTTAGGAGCCAGTGGCTCCAGATTGTGAGAGGCAGTCAGACATCCCCTGAGGGGTCCTGGGTTGGAGAGGGTGCAGGCCGGGCTGAGGGACCCTGGCCACCCCCCTGACCCCTGTGCACGATTTCATGCACTGGGCTGCTAGTTTAGTAATAATGAACTATTTTAAAACTAGAGGGCTGATTTTAATTCTGTTTGCTGGTTTAGGGAGGTGGTGATAGTTATGAGTATGGATCCAGCTCCTGGGCTTCGGGCAGCATCAGCGAGCATGGTGAGGAGTGCGGGCTGAGGCTCTGGGCGGTCCCTGCCCGCCGGGCTGCACAGGGAGAGGGAGCTGGGCTCCCACCCTCCTGCTTTCTCTGTTGCCAAATCCTTTCCTCTTTCTGGTTCTGAGTGTGTCTCACATCTCGGGCTATTCTTTGTGCTTTCATTTATGTGTTTTTCCTCTCTCTCTGCTTCTGTTTCTCCCTCTCTCTTTCTCTCTTGTCTTTCTTTCCACCTCTCTCAATCCCTGCTTTTGATCAAAACCATCCTTTAACCCTCAGGTCAAAATAGAGCTGAGTGATATACTTTAATATGCTTTTATGTATGGTTTGTAGATTGAACAGTATTTTCTGTTTCCTGCCTCATACACAGGCAGGCAGGTGGGTATAATTTTTTTCTGTTAATCCAGAAAACAAATCCACAGTGGTTTTCATAGGTATGACCCTTGACTGATTCCCACCGAACCTTCTCCCCGAAACCCAGAAATTGGGGACCAGCAATGGGCTAAAAGATCCAGCCTAGAGTTCCTAGGCTACAGCAGGAGAGGACCAATGCTTGTTGCCCGATAGGTGGGTGAGGGGGATAAGCATGATGGCAGGGAGCATGCAAGGGTGAGGGGCGCAATCTGGGTGTATGAAATGGAGATCCCAGTTAGCAACTGCCTGCTCATGTTAGCAACTGCCCGCTCATGTCAGCCTCTGCCACTGTCCAGCCTTTGCCTTGACCCTCCCTGAGTGACCTGCTCCCCCAGGCCCTGAGCTCACCTGGGACTGACCCCTCCACACCTTTGCTGTGCACTCCCTCTGGCACGTTTTGGCCACCTGCCCATCCACTGAGGTCTTCCCTGATGCACAGAACCAGCTAGAACAAATTCCTCTTGCTGCCCCCCAGTGGTCAGAGGTGGGGGCTCAGCTATCTTGGTTCCCTAGTGCCCAGCACAGTGCCTCGCACAGAATAGGTATTCAATCAGCATATGTTGGAAAGGGAAGTGGGATTCCACATAGAATCTTTGGTCTCCCATTTTAGCAGAAGGAAATCAAAGTGGGCAAACTTGGCCCCGGCTCTGAGGTTGCCTCCCAGATCTGCTCTCCTGCCTGGAGGCCTGCCCCTGCACCCCTGCACTCCACCCAGTCTCCACGGCTCCCTCCCCCATGAGCCCTTCTGACTCCCACTCCTGTCCCTTCCCTGAGCTCCCAGCTACCTGCCCTGTCATTATCTTTCGCGGGCCTCTCTTACGGCTGTTTCCACATCCCCATGTTAGGCACACACGAGACTGTCACCCCACACCGTGAGCCAGCCCCCGGAGGGTGACACTTCCACAATGACCAGACTGAATGAGGAAGGGAAGGCATCTCGGCCGATCCCTGGGAGAAGAAAAAGCTGGAACCGACCGTCCTGCTGGTTGACAGGAAGTGGGGAGCGAGTTGGGCCCAGGGTCTCTGCGGGGAGAGGAGGTACTGAGCGCTGGCAGTCACTCACCCCCGGCGACGCGGGATCAGGAGGGATCACAACGTTACACTACCTTGTTGGCCAGTGGGTCTCCCGGTCCATCTTCGCCTTCCCCAACACTTAGCTCTGACCGCTCGCAATTACTGTCTGAGAGGCAATCTAAAAGTCAAGCTGCGTTACGGAGAACCCCACAACACTGCAGGGCACAGCTCCTCTCTGGAGAGCGGCTCACGTGGCAAAGCTCGGTCCTTCGCCTACTCAGCCGGGCCTTTCCGAGGAAATAAGATCAAGAAAGTGGCGTTCGACTTGAGCATTTATTTAAAATTGGAAAAGAACTTGGTTTGTTTGTTCGTTCGTTTTTTGTTTTTTTTCTGAGCAGGCACAGACCACAAGCACGTCACAATCAATTGGCTATACATGAATTAGTTTTGTCACTTTCGTACTGACAGCGGGAATGGAATAGCACCGAGAGGGGTGTGCGCTACACGTTACAGAGACAATCTGCGGTACGCAACAAAACCCAGGCCACAAAATCGGAATTAGACGCTCCTGTCTGCCTCCGAGAGGCAAAAGTACAGTGAGCCCAATGGGCACGCCCGCGGGGGCCACAGAGCTGCCGGGGCCAAGGCCCAGCGTTAGGTGTGGTTTTGGCAGGCAGGCAAAGCAGACAGTGGCAAAGCCTCAGCCCTCACTCTCCTGCCAGGGGAGTTGAGGAAACCATAGGGAAATGCACAAACCCGGGAGGAACGGGCATTGGGAGCTCGGTCCCCTTCAGAAAGGCAAAGGCAAAACACTGCTTGTGGGACCGGAAACAGTTCCCATCAGCACGTCTAGGGTACAGACCAAGACGGCTGAGTTTCACTTGTGAGCAGTAGAAATCAGCTTCTTGCCAGCGAAAGGACATATTCAAGAGTCAGAGTGAACTACAAACAGGGGTTAAGAAGCTGAGGCTACTGAAGGGTGGAAAAAGACACCATACAGGTCACCCCAAGCCTCGAGTCAGGGGCAGCAAGGTAGGGAACTGGAGAACTCTACAAGTGGGGCTACATACTCTTGAAACAGACACGGGGATCAAGTCACAGGTATCCTAGTTGTTCTACTGTACAGACAGATTTATTTGTACGACTCACCATGTCTAGGGCAGTGTCTGGCACACAGGCACTCAGTAAGTGAATGGTTTCCTGGGCATGGTGAAGTTTGATTTACTTGATCTGCAAAAAATATATGACTATGCCTCGGAGAAATCCAAATTGTGGCTAACATCAACGTGTCTGGCTAATCTTGAGAGGATGAAAATATATTGGCAAAGTATCTGGATAAAGTTAAGATCGCGTTGTTAGTGATCTCTGGTTCAGGTTAAGATTAGCTAGCAAAGAGCTGGGCTCAGTGCTGAGACCGACTCTGGTCATCCCCAGGTAGGCATCCAAGTCTGTGATTCAGAAACACGAAACCCACTGACACCTTCTACCCTTCACCACCTCTCCTTCCTCACAGTTCCATACCCTGAGGTAGAAAGGAAGACGGCAGAGGGCCTGGCAGAGAGCTTCGGTGTTCGTAGTCCTGTTCTCTTAGGAAAGGTGGCACATGTGCAACAAAGCATGTATCCATCAGCCCCAAGGTGACCAGCAAAATTGTGTCCAACCCAGACTTGGTGGCTTCAATGGCCAGAATAGGAGACAGTCCTTCCAGACCGGAAGGACTGAGGAACGTCTGAGGTAAGGAACTGTGAGGACTCCACTCCTCACCATGCTCCTTACAAAAGAAAAGTAGGCCTGAGCAGAGGCTTGGCGTCATACAACAGCCCGGCAGGTACTTTGAGGACACGATAAATAAAGCATACTGAGCAATACACACGTCACAGGTTGGTTAGCAAATGTAATTTTTTTCTGGCAGGTATTTTGGGGTGTTTTCACAACAGCTCTCTGACTAACGCCTACGACACAACTCTAGCACAGCTACGATGGCCCTGGCCATCACTGGAGACACACAACGCACAGTTCATGGAGAGCTGCTGCTTTTATTCATTAATGAGGTCAAAAATGCTTGCTAATCACCTAGCAGGGAACTCCCCTAGTCTTAGCTAAGTCACAGACATTTCCCCAACCCGGGGCTCGGCGCCCTCCGCCCTCTCTGAGGAGCAGTGCGACGTCAGTCAGGAAGGGAGGGTCAACATCGCCACGCTGGTCACTACGTCCACTTCCCGCCTGTGTTTCTCAGAAGCGGGAGAGTCACGTTCTAAACGCTATCCCTACACCTTGAACTTCCTTCCTCCGCCCCCTGTAACCAGCTGCCCTGCCAAGTCGGCAGCGCTGGGCAGGCAGCCTGTGGAGGGCAGACAGGAAGCGACCCCTTCTTTTTCGTCATCTTCTCATGGTGGCTGAGATACCTAACCTTTACCCTGCCCTGGTTTCAGTCACCAGTGGGGGTGGACAATGGAGAGCCTCCTGATAAGCAACTAAATGGAGCCACACGTTTCTAATAGAAGATTCTATGGGGAAAATGACTTAAAGTTAGCAGACACAACTAAATGTATTGACATTAAGGCCAAGGTTTTCTTGTAATTTTTTTTTTTTTTTTTAATATTTTCACAAATGTTGTCCATTGCTGAAGTCCAGGTTAAGCTTCTTCTATAGCAGGTGACAACTCTCAGAATTTGGAAAAGAACACATTCACTTGAAGGTCCAAATTGATCACTGACTGACCCTGGGGAGGAATAGGAGGAGGTTACTCCTCTGGCCCCCCCCTCTCCCCCCGCCCCCCCAAGACATTTCTAAGCACGACCAGGAGATCCCTCTGCAGCGGCTGGGCATTGCCTCTGTGCGCTAAGCCCTGCCCGCCTTCCTCACCGGCAAGCAGGAGGCACAGCCAGTGAGCCACACGGCCTGGGGCTCCAGGGCCCTGGGCATGGCCCCTGGGCCGCACCGAGGAGAGACACACCATGGCTCTCTGAAACAAACAGGGTTCCTCAACTAAAGGAAACCAAACCAAAGGGCTCCTGGAACGCTCAGGACAAAGACAGATGAGAAGCCTCTAATCAATTTTGTGGCCTTTTTTTGTTGGTTGATTTGAAAGAGAGAGAGAGGGAGAGAGAGAGAGAGAGAGAGAGAGAGAGAGAGAGAGAGAGAGAGAGAGAGAGAGAGAGAGAGAGGGAGGGAGGGAGAGGGAGAGAGAGAGAGAGAGACATGGGAGAAGAATAAAAGGAAAGTGCAGTGACATTTACTCTTTCGCCTCAGCCAGCTTATTGTTCATCTCTTTACTTGGCTCCTTGTCCTCGGGCTGGGCTTGGGGGGCGCTGGCGCCCTCGGCGCTCTTTTTCTTGAGGGCCCGGCCCGGCACCACCTGCTTGTCTTTGGACTTCCTCGGGGCCTTGTGGCTCGCTGAGGTCTTTTTTGGTTTGGAACTCGGAACGCTAGTTTTTTCCACCTGCACGGAGAGACAGACAGACGGAAAACACGGGAATACAAAAGGAGAGGGCGTGGGAGAGAAAGTTTAGAAAGAAGACACAGTTAATGAGAAGGTAACGGGAATGCCGGCCTTTGACCCTGAGGCAGCAGAGTATGAAATGTTCTCAGTGACGTCAGGCCACTTGGCTTCTAGAACTCTCTGCGCCCCCTGGTCAGTCATCTGGCAACACTCTCACTGGTCACGTGGGGCCCTGGACGTCTCACCCCGGACAGCCAGGCAGTGGGCTGTGCTGCTATTTGCACTATCCGCTTGCCTTCCCTGTCCAAGTCAGGCAGGCATATGGTTTGCTCTCGTCAGTGAGATGTGAGCAGCAGTGACTGGGTCACCTCCAGGCCCACTCAGTCAGCTTGTGCTTCCCAGTGCTCTTTCTCACCCCCAGTTTCTGGCTGCAGAGGTAACAAGGAGAGCTGCACCAACCCATGGTGGGTGTGTATTATAAGAAACTAGAGGCCTGGTGCATGAATTCATGAATGGGTGGGGTCCCTCAGCCTGGCAGTGGGGTCCCTCAGCCTGGCAGTGATAAGGGCCAATTGGGGTGGCAGGAGGAGGAGAAGGGAGGGGGTTAGGGGAGGGAGGAGGGACTGCAGGAGGTTGGCTGGCTGGGGAGAGGGACCACGGGAGGCTGGCTGTGGGAGTGCACTGACCACCATCGGGCAGCTCCTGCATTGAGCATCTGCCCCCTGGTGGTCAGCGCACACCATAGTGACTGGTCGACCAGTCATTCAGTCATTCAGTGGCTTAGGCTTTTATATATATGGATAGATGTCTGTTGATGTAAAACACAGAGACTGTGGGATGACTTGTTAACATAAGCCCACCTTTCCTCTGTTCCCATCTCTGAGACGGTGTGCACAGATGGAGAAATGCCTTCACTGAGATGCTTCGGGCCAGGCACCTCATCTCAGTGAGGCCTTCACAATTGCCCAGCACCCGCTCCTCCTCTCAGGCTGGCTCCTCAGCCCGTACTTCCCAGAGCAGCTGTTCAAGCCCACTCCCTCTCCCCACGCTCCCTCTCCCCAAGCTCCCTCCTCTGGCTCTGCCCCTTTGTCCCTAGGAGATGGCCTTGTTTTCTCTTTCTCAAGAACTCTGGGGCCACTGGGTGTGATCCCTCAGTATGCCACCTCCCATCCATCTCTAGATTTATTTTCTCCAATCTTTTTTCCTCTTCCCTTTGAATCTTCTTTTTGTCCATAGCCAACCCCATGTCCTGGGAAAGGTGGACAGAGATGACATTGGGCCCCTGGGCTGGGTCACTCACTCACTGAGTTCCAGAGGTTTCCCGTCACCCCAGACCTGTTCTTAAGGTAACCAATAGGCCTGGTTTGCCGGGGACTAAGAGCTTTCATGAGACTCTCAGTGCTATAACTAGAGGAGTCCAGGCAAACGGGGTCGGCTAGTTATCTTACCCGAGTTGGCAAAATAGGAAACCACTGAGGGCCAGACTTTAGGGCAAAAGCAGAGAAAAGGCTGTCTAGGGTCTCAGACTTGTTCTGCTATTTAGGTAGGAGAGCTAACATTTGCCCGATGGCATGGGACCTGACCTCAGAGAGCGAGCTCTGGCACATATGAGTCCTGTGTCAGCAGAGGAACCTCCAACATACTTCTCCCTCTCAGTGAATGCATTCTGGGATGCAAACAGGGCAAAATGGTGTCATGAGAGGAAAATCCCTGAATTCACATAAGTTACTTAGAAATGCAATTCATTCACAAACTGCTCATCATAATAACGAATTACTCAAAGCATATCTCGCAGCTGACATGACAGGTGTGTTGTGATGACTAAGGACTGCTGGTGGGTGGTGTTTATCAAGTGAAAGGGTAAGAAAACACAGGTGACAAAAAAGAAAGGCAGGTGATTTTCAGGGACCGGGAGGTGAGGAAGATTCTGGAGCTGAGAATGAGGCAGGGACGGGTGGGAAGGAAGCCAGGCAAGGAGGCCTCCAGCACTGGGCCAGCACTGCAGGGGCAAAAGCACAGTTATTTTACGACAAGGGATTTAGGGCTCAGAGGAGATTTCCTGTCACTTTTTCTTTTTCTGGGTTTCTCAAAATCAGAAGCTAGTTTTCTGCACGTCTGCCAGGCTTGATACTGTTTTTATGTTAGATAATGTTCCTTTTACACATTCCTTTTGAATTTATCAAAGGTTCTTATTAATAAGCCCCCTCTATCTCAGTGAGCTGCATTTAAAACATATAATTTCAGAGAGAAAGGGAAAGAGAGACAGAAACATCAATTATGAGAGAGAATCATCGATCGGTTGCCTCCTGCTCGCCCCACTGAGGATCAGGCCATAATCTGGACATGTGCCCTGACTGGAAATCAGACTGTGACCTCTTGGTTGATAGGTCCATGCTCAACCATTGAGCCACCCCGGCCGGCCAGCTGGCTTCTGGGAGGATTTGGAGTGGCCCCCGCTCCCATGCTCCCTCCATCCCAGGCCCTGCTGATGGGCTCCCCACCGGACCCGCCTCACCTTTGGGCATTCCTTGAAAGGCTCGCTGTAGAGGCTGCGTATTCTTCTGCGCTCCATAAACTTATTGTCAGCTGGTGTTGGCTTGTTGGCTTCCCCCTTGAACTGGGCACTGTAGCTGGTCTCATGAGCCATCTTATCATCCGGGGGCTTGTACTGGAGCCTCGCCTTTATTGGCTTCACAGGCTTGATGTCCGTCCACGCTCTGAACTCATTCCTGGGAACCAAAGAAAGCACAAGCGCGATGAGCCCTCATCTGCCAGAAGCAGAGCCCTCACACAGGGCTGCAGGCTCGGCCAGCTCAGCGTGAGTCCTTGGGATACTGGCTGGACGGTGGCTGAAGAGGTAACTCCACTCTGTCCTCGCGGGCAAGTGTGAGGTTTCCTCCGCCAAGCTAATGCAGGTTTTGGCAACAGCAACCGTGCCTGAGAGAAGGGCTCAGGCTCCCAGCTCCCACTGAGTGATGAGGCACAGGCAATTCTAACCTCTGAATTCTAGCCTTATTTTCCCAATATTCAAGATGGGGCTGAAAAAACTCAGTCCATCCCGTCACTCATGGATTCAACATACACAGGTGGGGCAAAGGTGTACAAACAGCTGTTTGTACGGAAAATAATACAATCATTAATAAATACACAAATACGCTCCATTTCTTGTACTCACACCTGTATGCCTATGGTTGCCCTGCCCTTTATAACTGGATGTCTGCTTTGCGTGACGTTTAAGGATTATAAAAGTTAAATGCAATCATAGATTCGCATTGTGTTAAACCACGTGCCTGGTAATTGTGGTCAGTTGACAAACGCCAGTTCCCTTCTCCAAGTTGTCATGACGAAGACCCTTTGCTATGCAGAATCCCTAAGGATAATTCCCGCCTTTGATAGCAGAGGGCTTGCTTCGTAGAGAGCTAGAACTTAAACAGTCGGAATCACTTCAGAGGACAACCCTTATGAAATGAGTAAATGCTCATAGAACCTTAAGTAGCACACGTGGGACGTGTGTTGGGATATGTACGTGTAGGGAGTCCGTGTGCTTGGCTGTGAATGGCTCTTGGTCCTCACCCTAAATGACCCCATCTGCTGCTTTTTCGGAGCCAGTGTGTCGGTTATTTTGTTCACAGCAGCTTCTCTTGTGGTTTCCAATGAGCTGATTCTGATCTGTGACAGGACTGGAGATGAGATGGTCCACAACTTTTAAAAATACGGTAAACTAGGCCTGGCCAAGTGTGGCCAGGGTTGGAGTGACGTCCTCTAAACCAGAAGGTCTCAGGTTCGGTTCCGGTCAGGCCACATAGCTAGGTTGTGGGTCTGATCAGCGGTCAAGGCACGTATGGGAGGCAACTCTCACATATCTTTCTCTCTTTCTCTTTCTCTCCCCCCAACCCCCGCCTCCCTTTCTAAAAATCCTCGGTGAGGATTTTAAACAAAACAACACATGGCAAATATAAACAGATGCAGCTGTGGCTGGAATGAAGGCCACAGGGTCCACCCTACTGGTGCGTGGGATTTGGCGCTCTGTGCCCTCAAGGTCTTGTCGGGCCTGTTCCCACGTGGGGCCCTGAGACGCTGTGTGTGGGAAAGGACGAGTCAGTGTAGGAACATCTGTGGGGTTGGTTCTTCCAGTGCCTTCTTCCACCCCAGGGACAACGCCCTCCTCCAGCGCCCGGAGCTCAGTGCCATGAACAGGAGGCCGTGGGGAATGGCAAACAGAGTTTAGCCGTGGTGGAGACACCCGGGGTCTAGCCCTAGCACTGCCTCTCACTAGGCCTCTCCCCTCACTGAGCCTTCGTTTCCCCATTTGTTAAATAAAAGAATCACACCAGACAACGTCCTCATACTGTCCTTCTAGCTCCGAGGCTCCCTGAGTCAGGGAAGCTGGTTTGGTAACTCTGAGCCACTTTTGGTCATTTGACCTCCTTAGGGAAACTGGTTCATCTCTGATGAGAGAATATGGTTTCTTAAGAGACGTTTCCCAAGCTTCAGACTCGCCTTCCCAGTACAGCTTGGACATCCACCTAAATGCTCTATCAACAGGTCAAACTCAACATCCCTAAGACCTAATTGTGTTGTCCTTCCTGCCAAATCGTCCTCTCTCATGAACTCCCTCACGGCTCCGTTTCACCCCTTCACTCACAAAATGATTTACTGAGCGCTTCAGGTCTGTCTGGCAGGGTGCTGAGCTCTTAGGAGCGGAAAATGAGTCAGAGCAGACCCTGGGCTCAGGATGTGAGAGGCAGAGGGCTCTGATGTTACTCCAAGACAATACAGTGAGAGCCACGAGGAGGAGGGAGTGAGAAGCACAGAGGAGAAGCTCCTATGCCAGCTCTAGAGTCTGGGGTGGGGGTGGGGTTCTGGAGTGGAGTTAGACAGGCTGACAGGGAGAGGCCAGGGGAGGGAGGAGCAGCAGGTTCCAGGCAAGAGGCTCCGAGAGGCACAGCCCACTGCGGGAACCTGCAGGCAGCTGGGTGGCCGGGCTGAAGCTTGTGGGGAAGGGCTCAGGGAGCTGGACAGATCATGAAGGTGTGTAGCAGCCATGCTAGGGGGATTCTATGGACTGTAACCAAGAGTTGCCAAATGATTCCAAGCCAAGGATGAGTGTGGCCAGATTGGCTTTGGGGAAGGGAACTTTGCAGCAGTATGAATGGTGGACAGGAGAGGGGTGGTGAGGCAGGAGGACAGGCTTGGGATTGTGCAGAGAGTCAGAAGGAAGGTGGAGGCCTGAACCAGGATGGTGGCAGCGGGACATGGGCAGGACTTGGAAACGGCTGGAAGGGAGCTGGCCAGAGGAGGAGGGAGCAGGTGCCAGGAGGAGTGACCAGAAGAATCTGGGCATTTTGGTCCTGTGGGCAGAGGTGCTACTGATTGCCACTGTGACGGGGGAAACTGGGAGGAGAAAGAAAGGAATTTAGGATGGAATTGAGACCCTCCTGATTGTTAAAGGCAGCCATTCACTCTGGCATCAAGTTACTCTCTGATCCTTCTTCTCTTCTCCTCCTTTCTTCTCCACTTTCCATGGATTCAACCAGTTACGAAGACCTGACTTCTGAACCATTTTGGCTCTATACACAGGTTTCGGCCTGGGCCTGGTGACCCCCTCGGGCTCTGGTCACCATTAGCCTCCCAAGGCCCCACACCTCCTTCCTCCCCCTCCTCAGGACCAAAGTCCTGCTTCTTAGACGAGGCCCGAATACTTGGCCTAAAACTTGCAGTAGCCAAACCACTAACAACCTGGCTCCCGGATGTATAATGGGAGCAACGTGAATCCTCTGCTCCTACCCCAGCCTGCTCCCAGCATTAGGACTGACATGGGCATACGCTGGCCGTGAGCACTGATTCTGAGCCATCTATCCCCGGCCAGCCCTGCAGCTTCCTGTGTCTCTGCGGTGGCCTCCGTGCGCTGGCCAACGCCTCACGGTGAACGTGTTCCATGGGCCGCGTCCTCCCGGGAAAAGCGTGGTAACCCCTGATCCTGAACATCTGGGCACGTCATCTCCCCATGAGACTATGCTAGTAAGTCCCACAATAAGTTCACTTCATTATGACAAACTGCTAGGTTTAAACCCAAGTTCTGTTCCTTAGAATTGTCTCTGAACTTTTCACAGCACCTTTCCCAGCCATAAGTAACAACTAGTCGTGTGTCTTAAAAACAGAATTAGCTACTATTCATGAATCGCCTTTAAGAAGTTGGTGGGTTGGGTTTTTGGTTTGTTTTTGCGTATTCTCTTGGTGCTTGTAACAACTTTGGAAGAAGGCGGTATTATATCCCTTTTATAAAAGAGTAATGAGAGAGTGTGTGTGTGTGTAACCATGGCTCAGAGAGGTTAAGTGCCTTGCATAAGGCCACAGAGCTGGCAAGCAGCAGAGCTGAAATCTGAGCCCTTCCCACTGCCGCCCGCTCCCTCTGCCCTCGCTGCAGGTGCCTGGGCAGGGTCTGGCCTGCTGTCTGCAATCCGTGGAGGCTTCGTATGACCCAGACTGGACTCGATGACCTCTGAGCTCCTGCAGCTGTGAGAAGCCCCGCCCACAGCAGTGGAGGCCACGCTCTGAGGCCCGTCACACCGGGTGCCTCTTGCCACAAGTTCACGGTCCCCTGTAGCCATGAACTTGCCTTTCCGTGACAAGATTTCAGCTTGATCATTCACTTACTCTTTAACTCGTTCATTCATGAGTTAATTCATTAATTCACGCGGCATTTGCCCAACACCGGCCGCTGGTGTGGCATGTGAGCCACAGGAAGGAGTAAGCCGCGGTGGAGGTGTCTATGGTTCAGGGAGTCAGAATCTGTCCATGTGTGACCCTAGCAAACTGGACAGAGGTGAGACTGTCAGAGGGAAAGAGAAGAGGGCCTTTAATTCTGGAGGGAGGACGTGGGGAAGGGGGCGCTGGAGCAGTTGGTGAGCGTAACCGACACTTGCCCAGCACCTACTTGAAGCTCCTGGCAGCTCCGTGGCAGCTTTGGCTCCCGTGGCAACCACAATGGGTGCACACCACAGGGAAGCTCTGGGCACACGGGGAGAGCCCGCATCTGCAGGCTCTGCCCTGGCATCCCAGGGGTGCTCCACATGCCACAGCTTCTCCTGTGTCATGATGTGGGGGCGTCAGGGACAGGATGATCTCCAGCTGCATTGCCAAACGCCCACCGTCCCTTCCGCAGTGGGTCCCTGGGTGGAGCCCTGCCAGGAGGCCTGACACAGGACGTAGCTCCTGCACAGTATGCTCCCTGCGGGGGCAGAGGAGGGCTCTGTACGACGATGTCCCTCTGTGGGAGGGCGAACTGCACACAGAAGCCCCTCTACCACTATGTTCCCGTCTGGGGCTCCATGACTCCTCTGGTGGCCCATCTGTGCTGGAAAAATCTATCAGAGAAGCCCGGGCCGGTCTCCGGCCTCCTCCCCCAGGAGTGGCAGAGCCAGGCCCACCTCCCGGAGGCCAGGTGGGCAAGGTGCTCCTGGCTGCTCCCCGGAGACCTTTACACAGCTGCGCAGTCACGTTCAGAGCAGCTGCTCAGGCAGGATTTTAGGATCTTGCTGATCAGGCAAAGTCTTTAAAGGAGACAACTCATACATACTCTGCCTTCATCTTCTACGGCCCAGTCCCTCAGCCCCATCTCACCTGGGCCCTCCCTACTCCCTCCCCCCAACCTTTGGCTGCGGCATCAGGACCCTGGCGTGGGGACCCTGGTCCCAATCTCCTCACTCTGGCTGCTCCGGCACAGGCT